CATTTCAAACCTCCATTATCCCAACGCGCCTTCTCTTGATCACTGTCCCCTAATCATCATTATCTTACCACTATCACTCATCTTCATTGTACTAGGACCTTATCTTGTCAGCTTCCTTCAATATTCTTTATTATAACAATAGTAGAATTAGCTAGTATTGTAAATTTTATCATGATCTTTAAATGAGAAAAAAAATGAAATTGTAACCTCATTTATGTAGTGGATTCAATTTATATAATTTCTTTTAATATAAAAACTTTAGCATTCTGGCCACTAGGGAATTTTCGAACTAGGCATCGATCTTGGCCTTAATGACGTAAAAGAAGTTATTATTGCATTATTGGCCTTAATGTAGTGTATCAGCGAAAGAAACGGACCTGCTAGAAGCAATTCCCAATCTAGGGAACAGATACAAGCTCTGAGCTTCAAAGAGTATATAATTCACCAATAATTGAGCGCCGGGACTCTCTACATCATGATCTATACATATCTTTGCAATAACAGTCTAAAAATAGGTAGTTTTATACTAATGTAACTAAAAAGGAAATTTGGTAGGGGAAAGCAACAAAAGCAAATAGGAATTATAAGGCCACTTTGGTAACAACATAGAAATATTCCACATCATTCTGACTCATAGAAGTTTTTTTTTTTTAAAGGACTAATATAAGTCATTTATTGTCATTTCATGTCATTTTCTTTGAGCTGCCCGTTTTAAAAATAATTTGAAGTTTAGGTTATTATTTATAGGATCCATAATACATTTCTGCATTTACACATTTTGAAAGAAATACACAGCCCACTGCTTTCCATGGCATTTTATTAAGGCTTCGTTTGAGAAGGTTTAATTTTTTATTGGTTCTTAAAATAATTTTTAATATAAAATTTGACTTTTTTTATTACTTTTTAAAACAGTTTTTTAATAAAAAAATTTATTTTTTTTAATTAAAAAATTACTTTAAGAAATAGTAAAAAAGCATCACATGTCAAAAGTCATTTAAAGATTATTTTTAGTTTTAATATTTTAATTATAATTATATTAAATAAATCAAAAGTTTAATTAAAGATTTTAATTTATATTTTATTGGAGTTTTTTAAAGTAAAAGTTATAAAAAATAGATAATGTCCGACGATGAGTAATGACTGACCTATTTTGATTGATATATCATTTATAACTATTATTAAAATCATATTATTTTTATTTAAAAGTGTACTTATATAATCAAAAAATTATTTTATTTAACTTTTTATTTTCTCTAAGAGATATCTTAGAATATTTGACTAAAACAAATAATTTTATTATTGATATATCATCAAAAATTTATCTTGATCAAGCACTAATCTCAAGATAAATTTGAATTGCAAACTTTCGAAATTAAATTCGGGATCATTGGAACTCCGATTTCAACAAACATATAGTTGATCTGAACATCTTGAAAAGACAAACCCGACGACACCTGATTCAACCCAATCTAATATCATTAACATGCTTAAATACTCGATAAATGGTCCGTGGTCAAGGGAGTTGATATGGTTGTCTATTTGAAACACTCCCAACATACCCCTTATATTCTCCATATTTATTGATCATGTCACTCACATAAAACTATAAATAGACATCGCATTCTTCACTGAAGAAGAGAGAAAGCAAGAAAGAGGAGGAGAAATCAGAGTTCTCTTACCACCAAACTCCTTCTCGACCACCGCCTGACCATCGACCATCGCGGGAATTTCGCTGCACTTCCGCTCGTCCACCAACTTCATTGGACCTTTGCCTGATCACTAGCTGTTGCCGGACTTTCGTCCGGCCACCATCTGACACCGGATTTACACTCGGCCATCGACCGTTGCCGAACTTCCATCTGATCCTTGCTCATCACTAGATTTCAACCCGACAGTTGATTATTGTAATCTGATCATCCTCAAATTCAAGGATGAATCAATCATTTGTAATATATTCAAATACTAGTGTACTCATTTCAACTGAGTATTACCCTGTACTTTTTCCTTTTTGGGTTTTTCACATAAATTTTTTTGGTGTTTCTACTCTCTCTCTCTCTCTCTCTCTCTCTCTCTCTCTCTCTCTCTCTCTCTCTCTCTCTCTCTCTCTATGTTTGTGAGTTTGATATTGTGCAATGCTAAGACACAAAAATTTATACTTTACCGCCGTAAATATTCTAGCCCGCAACAATTATGATGATAAATTCTTAAAGTTTGGGTGTTGTGGTCATGCTAATTGCGGTGACATTGCTATATTATGATTATGACCAAAATTTGTAAGTTTTCCCCTTTCAGCTTTTGATTTTATTTGATATAACTTAGGCTTTGTTTGGGACGTCTTTCTTATTATTTCTTAAAACAGTTTTTTAGTACACAAATTAAAATTTTCACACCAAAAAATCGCTTTAAGAAGCAATAAGAAAGTCATGCCAAAAGAAACCTTATAGGATATAAAGCTCTCTTTTAGTTCGAGTGATCTAAAATTGACCATTTTTGTGAACTTCCACTCCCTTTTATAAAATCCCCTTGAATAAAATAAACAAAGATTATTGAGACATGACCCCTTTGATAATTAAATATATTAGGTTAATTACCATCTGTTATGATAGAATCATAAAATATTGATCAAGCGAGTCATGAATCACCTAATCAAACTCTTAGGAGAGCAATAGTTTATTATCTTCTCATGCATCAAGAGAGTCATTATAGCAATCAATCCATGAGAGAGAGTTCACATTGGCAAATAGTAAATCAACTTACATGATCAATAATCTTCACATAAATCACATATATTTGGCACCAAATTTAGTTAAATGTATATGAGAACATGTATGAGCGCACAAATTGCCACATATTATAAATTTATTCAGAAATTTTGGGTGCAAATAAGTTAAACACCTAAATAAATATTCAAATATTATATTCACAAATTGTTATAATATAAATTTAGGTTTTTAGGTTGACTCAAAATTTTCCCCAATACTTGCTGATTTTATTTTAGTTTATTTTATTTTTTGAATTATTGAAGCTAATTCAAGTCCAATCCTAATAATATCATAGTTATCCCAAAATAAAATTTTTTATATGGGCATATTCAAAGTACCCAACATATATCCCATCACTTTATTTTGGTGACATTCTCATACAAGCATAGCTAAGGTGTGTGGAGTGCTGTCAAATTTATTGAATGCTTTTGTAGCTCTTTGTAGATATTTTGTAGTAACCCTAAATCAAGTAGATAAGTAGACATTATGAAGTCCTTCATCAATCAAGAATCTCTTTGTAGCTTTCCACACAAGCTCACGTCCTTCCTAATTCAATAATTTGCCACTTTACCTAAACATGTCAGTTTCAAGCTCATCAGTTATCTCTAATCCCTTTTTGGGATTTTTACATACATAACATCTTAAAAACTATTAAAAATACATATTTAACACTCAAACTTCCATATTTACTTATATACCACCTAAACAACATTCCAAGCATTCAAAATGCCACTCCATAACTTTCCGTCAAAAAACGAAGCCCAACTTCACCGAGCCGCTGATTTCTCCCACTGTAAAGGTTCTCCGACGATTCGTCGCCTGCTCTTCACCAAATCAGGTAGTAGCTGAGGCTCTTCCTTTGCACTCTCCTTTTCGCATAAGAACTAATACAATAGAACAAAATTATAAGTTAGAAATTGTGCTTCAATAGCTTTCTTTTTCTTCCACGAGCACTATGAGAATGGACTCATATTTCATATAGATTCATAGAACTCATGTTCGCCGCAACCAGGTGAGAGGGTCTTCTCCACAATGTCATCTCAATGTTCTTTGTTTCATTGCGATTGTTTCCTCCTCCCCTAAGAAAGGAAAAAATAGTACAACCTACAGCTAATTCACGCCACCACGACATTTCACTGTGACCATTACCTTTCAATCTATTTCACTCCAATGATATACTTCCCAGGCATTCAAATGGGAAGAAACATCTAAACCTTTCGTCGTTCACGAAAGGAACGACGAAAGGGAGATCAGGAGAGAAAAATAGCACCGATAAGGCCAAGGGAAGATGGGGCGTGCGAAAACCTTCAAATGCCATGGAGAAGACTGTCCCTCGCTTGATGGAAGGGAAGGCGACGTGCAGTTAGGACTTTTTGACGGCGGCTTAAACGGAGTGACATATTAGATAAAAATAGAGATTTTAGGTGGTATATAAGTAAATATGAAAGTTTGAGTGTTCAATATGTATTTTAAATAGTTTGAGGAGGTATGTATGTAAAAATCCTTAACTTGTTTCATGATTTTGTTTTACACTTAAATGGATAAAAGAGTTAGTAAGCAAGATTGTAAAATTGGATTGAACATAGAATCGAAAGAAGGGGGGATTCAAATTTTAATGATTTGATTGGAGTTGAACATATAACATAATAAATATTAAAATTATTCAATTATAGTATAAATTATATAATAAATAATTTTTTTAAAAATGAACATATGATTACTTAAATTAAAACTGTTAAACAAAAAAAAAATTACATACCTTGGGCTAAATCAAAATTATTCTCTCATAAATTCTATTTGATCATGTGTATTTAGTTGCATGTTATCATCTCACTTGTGGGCAAACAATATTGATATTTTGTCCAAGCAATTTTCATAATCATTGAAATATAATTAAAAATCTTATAATCAATTTTATACAATCAAACATTTCAAATATAAATAAAAAATTTATACATTAATTGAAGGACCATATTTGCTTCTTACCCAATTCCAAACTTCTTCGAGCAATTTGTTCAATTGTAGGCTTTATTTGTTTGCCTTTTCTGTTTGGAAACGGAGGATTTTTTTTGTATTGTTTGGTTCATCAAATCACGTTCTCAATAACTCATTTTTTTTCTACAGTTTTGAGAAAGCTTTTTTCGACGTTAGAAAACTCTATTTTCTAAACTAATGTTTTTTAAAACTGTCTTAAACAAACGAATCCTAATCAAACACACGTTCAAACTGATTCAGGACTTCATAAATTCAACCTCATTAGATTATCTCAAACTGAAACGTAAACATTTTTTTTTTTCCAATTATGCATCCGAAATCTAAGTGACAATACCTTAACTCTAATTGATAGATAACACAGCACCATTCTAAAACTCTAAAAGCTTACCTCAAAAGCTAAAAGGGAAAAGGAAAACACATGAAGGGATAGATATAAGGAACAAAAAGAAGAACAGTGATATCAAAGGCCTCTTCCCCCCTATTCATTTCTTCCTCTCTTCTTTGGAGGCTGAAGTTCCTCTTCTTCCTCATCCTCTTCATCTTCTTCCTCGTTCTCCTGATCATCCTCCTCTACACCCTCTTCTTCATCCTCCCCTCCATCTTCATCATCGTCGTCATCATCATCTTCGTCATCATCATCGTCGTCATCATCATCATCGCCATCATCATGCTCTTTAGGGTCTTCATCCTCATCCTCTCCATTTTCTTCAGCCCCTCCAACATCACCAGGCCCTTTCTTGCTATTGGTGTTGTCCTTGGGGTATCCATTACCCTCCCTTTCTTCCTCTGAAAGATCCTCTTCACCTTCACCTTCTTCATAGTCCCCATCTTCATCACCCTCACCATCTTCTTCATCAGAATCGACTGGTTCAGCCTCATTCTCGTTCTTCTGAGGCATTTGGTGTTTCGGTTGGTTGAATGGAAGCGAAATTGTGTCCTGAGATCACCAGTGAAAGATCTCATTAATATTATAAAAAATAAAGTTTGTATTATAATATTCTGATAAAATAATCAAAACGAGTTCTACAAATATTAAATTTGTTTTAAAATAAATATAATATAAATTATTTATCTCCAAAAAATCTATACAATTATTCTAATCAATTTTTTCATTGAATTTTTTTTTAAAAAAAATCCAAAACATTTTGGATCTGAGGTCCTAAGAAAATCCAGCTTCCGAGAACAAAATAAAGCCTAGCTTCCAATGTCACAAGAGAAGGCACGAGGGCTTTGAATAGCAACCACTGCAAATAAAATAAACCCGGTTCTTCTCCGGCAAAAGAAAAAAACCGGTCGAAGGCATGCAAGGTTTAGCTAACTCTTTACTGTACAAAATAAAGTAGGATATGCCAAACTCCCTCACATAACACCGCTACCAATAAATAATGCTTCTATCGCCAAGTCGCCGAGTCATGTGGCGGAACTCAACTCCGCCTCAAAAATCAAAATAAAAGAAATTTTTGTTTCAGTTCCGTGGCACAATAAAGCTTGACCTAGCGGATGACCGACGGGCAGCGATCTCATCGTCACAATTAATATTATATTTAATAATTAAGGATATGCTTAAATAATTTCTTATTTTTATTTTTATGTTCTTTTCGAATTATTTTAAATAACTACCTTAAATATCTTTTTTTATCTTTAACCCTTTCACCCTTTGATTTGGTTATACACATGTCCAAAATGATTTACATCTAATTTTTATTATTTACAAAAACTGAGGGATTGAAATACTACCATAATATTCTCTAAATCAAATTAAATAATCGCTAATATTATTTAATTTAAATATTTTTTCATACAAATTTTATAAATAAATATATAAATTCAGATATCAGATCGATAAATAATAAATGCAAAAAAATCTCTAAAAAAATATTACACAAACAACCGGTTTCGTATGCTCGCGCAACATGTTTTTATTTTATGAATTTAATTTAACAAAAGTGAATATAAAAAATAATTAAATAATAAACAGATCTTTCTGGCTAAAAACCAAAGAGATAATCTTTATGATACAAGAAAGTTAGATCTGCGAGTTAATTTCTCAAAATAAGTGAACAAAAAAGATAACAGTGAGCTAAAACTAAACCGTAGGTATACGATAAAGAAAAAGGAGGTGCGCTTACCGCCACAGATAAGTGGTCGGCCATGACCGGAGCAGCGCCGGTTAGCATACCGAGGGTGGCTACGGACGGCGATACCGTACCCATCGTGATGAGAACGATGCCTGGGAAGATGAAACGGACCGTTAATAAGGCAAAAAAACGTAATTTTTCTCAATAAAAATCATCTAAAAATAAAAAAAATACAGCACAAGGTAAAAACAACCGAAAATAAGCCAGAAATACTGCTAAAAAAATTATTTCACGGGGAAAAAAATAAAATTTAACATAAATGATTTCTACATAATCTGGTAAATGAAAAGATGATCACTGCGATACCAGTTGCAGAGAGAGCATAAAAAATATGGAAGAAATTAGGAAAAACTTTAGAAAATTCACCGAAACCGCGACAAACCTATCGTATACTCAAATAAAAAATGAGAACTGTAAAAAAAAGGATTTTTCCGCGAAGAAAGCCAGATCTAGATATCTATTACCAGAGTCGTACCCTGAAAGCAGATCCGAGCAGCGAAAGATCAGATCTTAGAGGTTAACCTCCGCCAAAATAAGCTGCAAAGCTTCAAGTGTTCTTTCACTTCTTAAGCAGTCCTATCGATGTTTGAATCAACGATCTCTAGAAGAATACAGGAAGAAGAGAGCTTGTTTTGGAGGCTTTTTTTTTTACTGGATGGAGAAAGAGAGAAGAGAGAGAGAGCGAGGCAGAAGGCAGAAAGGTCGGGCAGATTGGGCAGCACGGGTAACACGGGCAGGCTTGCCGACCTTACCGGTAGCGATGCTTGGATCGCTGCCCGTAGAAATAGCGGAGGGAAGAGCCCGGAGAAGAGCGGTTTAAGCCGGATTAACTTAACTACGAACCGGTTATCAGTCATTAATCCGCATAGTTGAACCGGTTTTAAATCGTAATTTAAACCGGAGTTAAACAAAGACCGAGCCCCGGCTCGAAGGAAATACCGGGGCCCACCGCTTGTGGCTTCGAATAGGATTCTTACGCGTCTAATCATGATTAGACTGAGTTGGCCGTAGTATAAAAACTAACCCGGTTGGTGCGGTGGGGAAGAATAATATTAGGATCGCCTGACCGTTCTTAAACTTACCGTACTTTGTTGATAAGCCAACTTTGTAGCGTCCAGCGTCCGCATCCGGTGAGTGCAGCAGGGCGGTGAGCATTTGCAATCCGTGGCTTTTTTGAGTTTTGAGCTTTAAGGGATTTAATAAAATTTGGCGTCCGTAGCAGTTTCTGTTTTCGCTGATATTTTTAAATGATTAATTTATCGTCGAGCGAAGTTCAGCGAAGATATTGGCGCGAAAACTTTGAAAATTTTCTCAAAAAAAAGAACTTCAAGTTGGGCCTCCTACCGCTTTGGCGATATTTTTTTTTTTTTGGATATTTAGGTCATTTAAAGCAAATTCATACACACAACCGATACACAGAGACTCGAATATTAGACCTCTTAGTTGGAAGCCTTAGCTCTTAACCAATAGGCCAAGGAGAGTTGTGTATTTTAGCGCTAAAGCAAATGACTGTACAATAAACGATATAAAAGATTATTAATAAGCTTTATAATTCATAATTTGTTTAAGGTTAGTACGGAGAAATTATTATGTGTGGAGATTGGATGTAGAACGTCGTCCGGAGATCAACTAGAATGCGTCACGTCAACGGTATTGAGCCACAATACCGAGCCGCAGCACCGAACGGAGGGGTGACTTGGCGCATTTTGGTTTTTCTCCGAACATCGTTCCGCATCCACAGAATAATTCGTCCTATTGAGGACCGTTGTAACTTTTTATAAAAGTGTTTGTAAAATTAATGCGGATAAAATAAAATTTTAAAAAAATTGACATATAAAGAAAATAATGAAGAAGCATGTGCCAAACAGTAAAATATAAATTTTTATTGAGATCTAAAGAGTAAAGTATAAGTATCTATTGGGGACCAAATGAAATAATAATTTTATCCTTTATTTAGCGAACAATTTGATCACATATGACATTTTTTAAAGAATTTTTTTAAAAATTGAATTACTAGGTAAATTACACGTATCTTTTTTTAAGATAATAAAAAAATATACACGGCTCCTTTTTATTTTTAGAAATGATATTTATCATTCATAATTATCAAAGAGTAATTACATGTTAATTTTTGCTTAATTAAAAAAATAAAATATATTGCCTTTTGTTAGATATTGCATGAGATAAGTTTATTTAAAAAAAAAAGGATGTAACTATATTTCTAATTTTTAAGAGAGGAGATAAATTGTTTAGAAGTTATTTGATTTTCTACATCAATGGTGGGGTGGAATAAAATCAAATGCAAAAGTCCTTAAATTTTGGTTGTTTGGTAGGTTGCATTTTAATGTGAAGTATTTCATTGATAAATTTGTAATTTATCTTCTAGTTTAATTTTCTATTATTGCAAAATTATTAGATATAGCCATTTTTTTATGTTAATCCCCAACAAGTAGTAGCCATTGTTACCCGTCACCGTTGTTGGTAGCTACTACCAACCACAATCGTTGTAATTATCGCTAATCACCACCACAACCACTGGTCCAACTATCGATTGTCATCACCAGCCACTAGACTGTGAGGCTACTTATCTTCGGACTCTTTCATTATTGGTCTTTGGCACCATTACCAATCTCCTGCAACCAATTCTGTCGTTGAATTCATTAGACTTTTTATTAAATTCATTTTATTTCCAACAAAAAAACCATTACTAATTATTTTACATTCAATCAACTCTAAAATATTTCAAACATATTACATTTATTTTATTATTATTATTTATTCTACATATCATACATTATAATTAGATAAAAATATTCAAATTAAGCATTTCGAATATGAACACTACAATTAAATATTAAAATTGTTTCGAAATAGGGGCGGAACCCAGTTGATTTGTCCCCCTCGATCTATTTGTCCCCCTAAAACTTTAAAAATTCTATGATCTTTAAGCAATTGCCCCTAACACAGAATTCATTATTTTATTTGTTAATTTGAAATCCAAAAATATCCTTACAATCAAAATTTGTTAATTTGATAATTCATCAAATTATTGTAAAGAGAAGTCAACATTGTATTTATTAATTTGAAAATAGGTCGAACCACGCAAGTGGGTGCTGCCCCCTTTAACCCCCAACATTTCTTCAAAGTGTACGATGATCAACGATATGAACAAAATAGGAATCGAACCAAATTCAAGTCAACTCCAACATACGTACATTTTGTAGAAATTGAATGATTCATCAATTACATCGTTTTGATTTACTTTTTCAAACAAATCATCCATACTTCACGCTAAATTTTGTTTAAGAATAATTGTCATTATATAAAATATTGATGATATTTTTAAAATGTATTATGAACTCAAGTACAAAGAATCACTAAAAAAAATCGAGACAACATCAATAGTAACTTATAAATTTATTCTCCTCCTGAAAATTAAGATTAATTTTGCCCCTGCTTTGAAAGTATCAATAATGAACTCATGCCGAACTTACGAAGTTTTGCAGAACTAAAACCTGTCTTACTGATCATGCAGACGATCAATTCAAGAATTTTATGCATACAGAAAGGAACATTGGAGGACTAACTAGAATAAAGGAACCTCAATCATAATCAAGAAGTCAACTTAATCGTGTCCACCTTTCCTACTTTGATGGCAAAAGAGAGATTTAAATTAAATTCTAGAGGGAGCTCTATATTTCTAAAAGATCAATCACCTTCTTCCATTTTTTATTATTCAATTATTATCATTTGATTACAATCATTTGATCATCATAGTTCATATACATTCCTCCGAACATCATTGTCCGATCAAGATCCTTTGAGCACAGTCGCCTTTCTACCTGAATACGATCATCCAACCACTGTTGTCTAAATACAATTTGGTGATCACCGTTGCTCGATTATACTCTTATGGACACATGCATTGGACTATGTCTCTTAAACATCGTTGCTTGAATACTATCTTTAGACCATGGCACTTCAACTACCGTCATCCAAATATAATCTTTTTTTATCATTTTTGCCCAGCTAAGATACTCCAACTACCATCCGCTGCATATAACTCATGTTTATACAATTTATGCTTACAAGATTGTATAAATACCGTCTAATTATGAGAAAGCACATCTTTCATGATTGATGATAAATAATAGCAAAGTCATTTCAACTTAACAAGATCTCATAGTTTTTATCTTTTTAAGTTTTTTTTTTTAAATTCTAGCATGCCTTACCACAATCTTATATGTCTGTACTCGATCTTCGTATAATATTAAGATGATATATGCTCTCTCTATTATCCTAAATGTTCTAGCACTCAACAAAATTCTTTGTTACTATCAAATTATGCCTACGAAAAAAAAAAAACTTGCTATGATATTCTAATTCATAATAAATATAGATGACTTTTAAAGCATTTGAATTTGCATTGAAAATAATAGAATTTATGATATCTTATAAAGCACTAATCTCAGTATAAATATGGAAATCATTAAACCCATATCAACATATTAAAGATCAGAGCTTTCTAACAAATTGTTTTTCCATTCTTTGGCACATGTGCATATTAAACAAATTGTAATTAGAAGGTTCCGCCCAAAAAAATGTAAAAAAAAAATTATTATATGATTGTTTACCTAATTTGTCCCCTCTATCTAGTTTTTAGTATTTAACTATTTATTACAAGGATTTTTAGTTAATTGCCTCCCCTAAAAGTTTTAAAATATTATGATCTTTAGACAATTGCCTCCAACAAATAGTAAAGGTAATTTATCATTTTATTTATTAATTTGAATTCCAAAAATATCCTTACAACAAAAATTTATTCCTCCACAGGTGTGCTACCTCCGAAAACCCGGCACGCAGCCCCTTCGCCTTGAAAACCCAAGCAGGTCTAATCCCGTCAGGGGGAGCTGCCCCCTTGGACCCCTCTACATATCTGCAAAGCGTACGAAGAGGCAACACAAACAATTACTTATAAGTCTGCCCCCTCTAAAAATTAAGATTGATTCCGCCCCGGATCATAATTACCCAAATTTATAAAAAAAATGCAATCCTTAGCAATAATTTCAAAGAAAAGTAATACTGGAATTTGAAAATGCCTTTATTTATTTACTTGCCTAGGTAAAACCATCAATTGATTATAGTTAATATGTCGCCTACGCTCAAGATTTATTAATAATTGAATGTATTTTTAAGTCAAAATTTTAAATAAGGTAATTTATTTCAATACTAAAATATTTTTACCGCTTGACAGGCAATTCTGAACACGACACTACCGTTGCAAAATAATCACGAAAGAAAATTCTTTAATTAGGAGGCTGAGGGAAATCAATGCTTGCGAGAAGACTTACTTTTCAGAAGTCTTCATTCTAGATGGAGATTGTTTCTAGAAAGATCTTGTTTAAGGACGTTTATAGTCTTATAGAAATCTTTTCAAATTCACAATTTGTAAGGATCATGCATGCACCTTCTCAGTCTTTTGGATGAGTGGAAAACCTATCAACTATTTCCTTTTAATTATAATGTTTTTCTAATAACTTTCCATGAAGGTTATCTCATGAGTATGTCTTTTCATAATTGTAAGTGGTGAATTTATTTCTACCAAAAAAAAAAAAAAAAGACTTTGATGATATTAGATTACCAATTAATTGTTCAACAAAACATCTAACTAGATTGACAAAAAAAAAAGAACAATTTTACCCGAGAAAGAGATTAGAATCATGGTGACCTTGTCTCTTACGAGTTACGAGAAAAATCAAACAAAAAAATTGA